TTGATAAAATCATTTTCAATTACATTTTTCAGATCAGACCAGTCAGTGCCTTCATATAATATTGCAGTATCATCTGCAAAACTAGTTATTTTGCCAACACAATTAATTTGGAAAATATCATTTAAATATATATTGAATAACAGCGGACCTAAGACAGTTCCTTGTGGGACACCACACTTAATATACATTTCTTTACTAAATGATCCTGATATCTGCACAGATTGTGGGCGATTTGACAAATAACTTTCGATCAGTGAGTACGCGTTTCCTCTGAAACCAATTCTCTCAAATGCTTCTAATAATAATTTGTGATTAACTGTGTCGAAAGCTTTCTTTAAATCAACAAAAATGCAGATTGAAGGGATTCTGTTATCAATATTTTGATGTATTTGATTTACAATTTTAGTTATTGCGTCCGATGTAGCCTTCCCTTCTGTAAATCCATATTGATTTTCACTTAAAATTTTGAATTTTGTGAGGTATCGAATCATTCTAGTAGATAAAACTTTTTCAAAAACCTTTGCTACACTGGATATTATTGATATTGGTCTATAGTTGTTAACATCTGTTTTTGTTCCTGATTTATGTATCGGTATTATATTTATTACCTTTTTTTAAAATTGAGGGATATATGCCATATTCAAAGCATTTGTTGATTAGGTAAGTGAGTGGTTCTGTTATGTCCTCGGCTATAATTTTCAAATGCTCGCTTTTAATACCATCGAACCCAGGACTTTTCCGATTTTTTAAGGACATAACAGTGGTGTATACTTCACATTGCTCGACTTTATCCAAAATAAATGAGTTCAAAGTTCTTTTTGGAGGCTGAGTATTTTGTACATTTGCTTGTATATTACTTGCTAAATTTTCGCCTATGTCAGTAAAGAATTGTACAAATTCATCGCATATCTGTTGAGTATTTTTTAATACTGTTCCCGATGTTGTATTTAACTCAGTGACACACTCTTTAACTTTTGTTTTCCCAGTAATCTCATCAATAGTTGTCCAAAGCCGCTTAGGATCATTTAAGTTATTATTCAATTTATTTAGGTAATGTTTTCGTTTGGTTTGCCTTACAAGCTCTATAAACTTATTTTTATATTGGTTGTAGCAGTCGGTATTCTCTGTAGTTGGCGTTAGTTTCATTACATTATATAGTCTTTCTTTTTCTATTGCCGATGTTATTAATCCTTTGGTAATCCAGGCATTTCTGCTTTTCTCTTTGTGACCAATTATTACTTTATTGGTACTAATATCTATTAGTTTTTTTTATTTTCTCTATGAACAGTCCCGTTGCTTTGTCTATATTATTTATAGAGTATAATTGTTCCCAGGATTCTTGTTTGACATTTGATATTAGTTTTGAATTGTCGACAAAACATTTGTAATTTTCCTGGTTGTTACTAACGGTAGGGATGTTAGAATGTTTTTCATTTGAAGATATCAGTAAAATAGTGGAGAAGTGGTCAGTAATATCGCTTTCTAGGATTATTGGTATACAAGTAATTTTGTTGGATAGGTCTTTCACAAAGCAGTGATCTATACATGTGCCACTGATGGACCTTGTAGGTAGGTTTATATAGGACAGAAATCCGTTACTTGATAGGTTATTCAAGTATTCATTTGTGATGGGATCATCGTCCAAAATATTTATATTGACATCTCCCAAGAAAATGTGTTGCTTTAAATGAACTTTATTTTGATTTTGAAAAAAAAATTCGATATTCTTAAAAAACTCGTGGGGTTCTGAACATGGCGGACGATAAATTGCAGATACCTCAATTTTGTTATGGTTAATTTGGATCATTATGTTTAAAATTTTGATTCCATCGGTGAAAGTGAATGTATCATGATTATATTGCAGTTTATTTCTTACAAAAATTATCACCCCATCGTTTTGGTTATAAGTGCCAAAGTTATACAGCGTGTCATATCCCTGCTGATTGAAGCAAGAAATATCAGCCACTTGCCACGTTTCAGTTAAAACTATTAGATCAAAATTGTACCATATTTGGTCGAGTAGTATTTTTAAGTAATCAATGTTGTGTTTTATATTCCTTATGTTCATATTAAAAATTCGAAATTTTGCATCAGAATTTTGTGTACATAAATTAAGTTCATCGACGTTTTGTGCTATATTTGTTGCAATACTTGGAATTTGGAAATCATTAATGTATTTATTTACTGACATTTGTAGGTCCTCTTTAGAGATAGGAGTAGTAAAAGATGAACTTGAATTTTAAAAAAGTATCCTTAAGTTTTGTTGTTCCTCATAATATTTGTACGATGGACAGTTTTTGTCGGTAGGTGAGTGGTTAATTTTATAATTTTTTTTATATCTTTCATTTCCATATCTACAGTTGCAGCATTCTATTGATACATGCTTACAATTTTCTTCTTCGTGACCGTTGCCACAGTTGGCACATATCTTCTCATTCCTGCAATTCTTTTCTGTATGATTAAAACGGTAGCATTTTCTACACTGAGAAATGTCGTTATTTTGATATACTGTCAAACATTGCCATCCCAGAGTATTCTTCTATTATTGTCTTCGAAGATTTTTTTGAATAGCTTTCCAGAAGTTTCCGCGTAGATAGTGTAATTGTTTCTTGATGGAAAATATTTGATAAACTTTACTTGTATGTCTCCACTCTGAATCATATAATTCTGATGTATAAGATCTTCTTCAATTTGCTTTTCATTCGGTTTCTCACTACTTTTATAATTTATTATTTTAATTTTTGGATTTAACATTTTCGGCTCAGTAACTTGGTATTTTTCATTCAGTTTATTTTGAAGTTCATCTTTCAGTTTATTATGGTTTGATTCATCAATTTTTATATCAATTCCGCCATTTTTTGAGTTTCTCACACTTTCTATTTAAATGTTCAGAGATGAAAGATTTATTCTCTTACTCAATTCTCTTCTCGTATTATCGCAAGATTGTTTTTCTTTTGGAATAACTGTGATGCATTTCAGTGATTGCCTTTTAGTAATAGGTGTCGTTTGTTTTAAGATTTGTGCGTATGAATTGTCTTTTACTAATTGGTTTTTCTCAACTTCGTCGAGTCTCATATTAATTCTATTTAATGCTGATGCTATGGCATCCTTCTCAGTAATACTTGCGGTTATTGACAGTTGCTGCTCTTTTAGTTTTAAATTTTCGTTATTGAGCTGACGAATTATTGCCTCCTTTTCTGCTAGTGTTTTCTTCAGGGATCGATTCTCTTCTAATATCTTTTTTACATTAGTCGAATCAGGTCGATTTTCTTCATCTGTGATGCAGTTTTTTTCATTCTCGGGCTTTTCTTGTTGTTCTTCTTCTTCCTTATTCTTTTTGCGGGTCATGACACTCTGTATAGTAATTTCTTATGTAGTATGGATCAGGAAGAACAAACTGTCAACTTGTCAATTTTACGTCACTACGAGGTTATATAAAAATACATTGTCGATGGCGTGCGAAAAACTGTTTTATCGCAATAACAGTAAACATAATGTGAAACATATATTTCTCAAAATAAAAAAAAATAATAATAAAAAGGAGCTTTGTGGACTCGAACCTCCGTCCTGCGGTTCTGCAATCGTTTCTTCTTCTCGTTACACCACGACGCCTCTTGGTTTACTGGATCTTTATACCACTATACTTGACACTGACTGTCAAGCGAACGAATACAATGCTGAAACTTTAAATAATGTATTAGGGACTAATACCGAGCATTTTGCCTAATTTATCGTTTTCTCGAGTTTATTTTACATGTTAACTCGCAGTCGTTTTGATCATACGAGATTTCGAAAACAGACGTATACTATATTAATACTTTTAGAAAAAAGGTCCAGGGAATTATATTTCTTCGTACAGAAACTAGATTACGTGACCTACTTATTTGACAAAGTCATGCAGTCATCAATAATGCAGCCGTTTAGCACATTCTACATATTAACTAGTCTAATACAGTTTGAAACATATAACTATGTCTTCAGTTTGCGTGCTAACTTTATAAACAGTTCAGCGCATTTCAGTATAAAATATATTTTTTTATAAACTTTAAGGCTCATCTGTAACCGTGTAAACAGATGTAAATATGTATACACAAGAGTATGGAGAAATCTTGAAAAAACTTTTTTTGTTCGCAACTAAAGGTATAATAACGTATGTTTTTCGAATACCGTAACAAATTAGTTCAATTACTCACAAATACTAAATGTATGAACTTGTTTATTGAAAAAAAAGTAACCCTTCGCTCTTCGCATAGAAATAACAATTATCTTTCGGAATGGCTTGTGATTCATGTCGGCAAGGTAAACTCGTATATTTTGCTATGAAATGCCCTTTGAACGAACCCTGTATATTGCTCAATAAACTAGTAGTGATGGCCGGAAGACTGGTGTTTTAGGATAAACAATTTGAATTTTTCTTCGTAATTATTTGCAAGTGTGGGAAATACTAAGGGCCGTATCGTCAGTCGTTCCTACAATAAATAATTGTAGGACGCCTTTATAACCTGCTGATGACTGGGGTATTTCTAGCATTTTGCTGCTCCGTGTCAGTGTCAGCGCTCTCATATAGTGACGCTATGTTTCTTTTGAATTGTAGGAAATTTCAGGCTGACATAACAGATGAACAATTTGAGGCAAATACAATTGTAACATAAGCTCATAATAAAGCGCTGACACGGAACAGTAGAAAACTATGAAAATCAAGGCCATAAAGGCGTCCTACAATTGTAGGAACTGCTGACGATATGGCCTTAGATAACTTATTTGAAGCGATATTTTCACTTATCATGTATTACTTTAATCTACATGTATGCTATTCTTAATAAATAATATCAATGCAACATTACATCAAATCTTGGAAACAATGCTCTCCTACACCTACAGTGTTGAGCTGCAATCTAATCTAAGGTACCTGTTATCTCAGATCTTATCTTGTTCGCTGATATAACCGACCCATATAGCAGCCGACAATATTGCCAGTTTTATCGAAGTAAAACCGAGATATGTCTAGTTTCTTTTCGAACATCTTTTCCGGGCACAAGTCAAAGAAAAACAAAAATGCAAAGTCCGAGAGCAAACCACCGCCTGGAATCTTCACGTCAAACGACAGTGAGAATCGAGGTGAAACTAGGGAAGATGAAGATATACCAGTGCCAATTCTGAACAGGCGGTATTCGTTATCGAAAAGTGGGAGGATGAAAGAGAAGAAACGAATGAAGATCGCCATCAAGGATAATTTTCCAGCGAGCGAAGATAAAGTTCAAAGTGGTGCTGGTGTTGATAATGACCGTGATTTTCCTGATAAGGCCGTGTTTGATGCCGATGGAATAATAGATGAAATGAATAAGTGCTGTGATTTGACTAGAATAGATAAGCATAGTGAATCTAAATAAAATTAACCTGATTATAATGAAATATGTTACGGTTTTATTTATCGTTCATCTCTACAGGGTGATTCAAAAATAGTGGCTTCATCTATGGAGCCACTGCCACCAAGTTCTTAGGTACACAATGTGTCAGGCAGAGATTCAGGGCGTTATTGATTTTTGCGCCACCGATAAGACTAATTGAGGATAGGTCATTAACATTCTCCAAATAAAGTTGTAGTGAAATGGTATTACTTCCCAAAAATACGTCAAACCTTAACTTCAACGTATTTTCATAATTGAATAGATTTAACTTTTAATAATATACTTTAAAGGTTATACCTTTTCTCCAAAAGGAATAATCCAGGGGTGCTGGGGGCCCAAAGCATGATTTTAAGTGAGAAAAGTGAGATTTTTTAAAACAGTGAGAAAATAGCGAGTTTATACATAAAAAAGTGAGTTAATTTTCTGAGAAAATGAATATCATAATTGAATTTGAACGCATAATATAAATAAGAATATGTGAAAAAAACGAGAATAACTCTTTGTTACTGATTTGTTGACATTAGCAAAAATAATTATTTATAGGTATGCATATTCTAAGATCAAATGCATACGATGCATAAAAAATTAAAAATCTAACATATTCTTGTAAATACGGGAGACGTACTTAGATCTATTAAGTATTCTTGCACAATTGACTGAACCTACATTTTAGCGATCTATTTAATCTTAAAAAGTTGAAATTTGATATAGTTCATATATATGAGTATTTTTTATACAACAGTTGACTAACTTAATCATCAGACCGTAAGACTTAGATCTAAACCTATTAAGTATTCTTGCACAATTGACTGAACCTACATTTTAGCGAACTATCTTAGCTTAAAAAGTTGAAATTTGATATAGTCCTTATATATGAGTATTTTTTATAAAACAGTTGACTAACTTAATCATCAGACTGTAGACTAGAGTACTTGTCATTGGGAACCAGGCCAGGCTCTATTCGATGGGTTCCGATGGCCACTTCCTGGCTTCATTATCATATTCATAAAAATATTGCATTGTCAGTTGTCATTTTAAAGGCCCGCTATATTATATTAGAATGACGTAACTTTGTCTATTGTATTTCTTTCATCAATCCCCTTTCATCTGATATATTATAGGGGTGACCATGGAAATATTTTTTCCTCCTAATTGTTTATTGTTGCTATTTTTCAATAATTGTTTTTTAACTCCAGACGATGATGGCATAGACCATTGAAAGCTCGAGTTCAAATTTTAAGAGTGCACTTATGCAAAACTTTGCCTTCTACCAAAGAAATTCAAGGATATATATATATATATACGAGGGATGTCTTTTAAGTTTTGCATATAGAAACATAGTATGCCGCGCGGATCGAACGTCGTACTGAATCTTAACCTCACTCTTAAATTCAAAGTTTCACAACAATACGTACAGTGTTCTCACTACAGTGAATTTTTAAGTGTCACCAAGTCATTAGAAAAATGGAACTCAACCGAGAACATTTTCGCGCCATAATTTATTACAACTTTCAGAGACAATTGTCGCAACAAGAATGCCTTGCTGAGTTACTGTCTGTTTTCGGCAACGAAGCGCCACATCAGTCGACAATTTCCCGTTGGTATGGAGAATTCAAGCGTGGACGGATGAGTCTTAGCGACGATCCCACGCTGAGTGCACCAAAAATTATTGAAGATAGACATGTCACATATCGCGAGATTGAGGCTTCCTTGAAGATCTCCAAGACCTCAATTCAAAAAATTTTACATGAAGAATTAAGAGTAGGAAAATTAGTTTCTCGTTGGATACCCCACCTGCTGACTGAAGAGCAGAAAGCAGCCAGGGTTAATTGTTGTCAAAAAACGCTTGACCGTTTCAATTCCGGAAACTCAAAAAATGTATACAGTATTGTTAGTGGTGATGAATCGTAGATTTACTGTTATGAACCAGAAAATAAACGACAGTCGGCTGTTTGGGTGTTCCAAGGTGAAGAAAAGCCAACAAAAGTCATCCGTTCTCGAAGTGTTTCGAAAAAGATGGTCGCGACATTTGTGTCAAAAGCGGGTCATATTGCAACGATTCCTCTTAATGAGCAAAGAACTGCTAGTGCGGATTGGTATACCACCATTTGTTTGGCAAAAGTTATCACCGAGCTTCTAAAAATCAACCCCGAAAGAAGAATCATCCTCCACCAAGAAAATGCAAGCTCGCACACCCCAAAAAACAAGGCAGTATTTAATGGAAGAAAACGTGGAATTATTGGACCATCCTCTAGTCACCAGACTAGACATGGCATGGCCTCAAAATCCACCGGATTTATGCTAAAGACACAGAAAAATGGATTTTGCGTATCCGCAGTAATTTTAGTGATATTATAAAACAATTCAAATAAAAGTATTTTGAGTGCAGCCTTCTTTCTCTTTTCTATGTCGGCTCGCTGTTGTTGGAAAACCCTTTGGAATAAATGTAATACTACTTTATGCTTCTCCCAATATTTTGGCAATCATCCAGTGTAATTCTTGCACCCGGCAAATTGCAGTCGCGTTAGGTAAGTAGCGTCTGATACATCGGCGGGACAGCTCATTCAGTATTTCATCTATAAATCACTACTCCAGATAAAAAAAAAAACAGCACAACCACATGTGCAAATTTGGACGACCTATTGCAACAAAAGCTCTAGATACTATCAACTCTGGTACATCAGTGAAATTTCATTTTACACCTGCTATGTCCACATAAAATAACTCATTAAATAACTGCCGTTTTAAGCTAGCGACTTTATGAACATGTGGTGGTGGGGATCCTGGCAACTAAGCCACCTTTAACCCTTTTTGCCGACCCCATAGTGCCAACACTGTACTATTCCACAGGCTATCTACTGGTAACTGATTAATGAGTACACCAGCTCCAGCGATACGATGTACGTTGCTCTTGCACCTTCTGGTGCGTGATAAAGATAACACATAACAACAACTACATACTCGTTTACACAGGCCCGTCCGATTGTGATGAAATTGGGTCTTTTAATATTAAAGGCTATTTTGTATATAACTCCAGCGCTAGAGCAAGCAGCATACGAGGAGGTTCTTTATTATTGCTAAATGAAAAATATTTAGGGGATTTTAAAACCATCATAAAAATAAATGATGAACAATGTATTGAATTGTGTTGCATTTAGATAAAATCACCTAATCTGTATGTCTTCAGCATCGGTCGCCTTTAGGCTATTTTGATACTTTTTTGAAACACTTTGAGAGTGCTGTGCAGCGGCTAGATTTGAATGCCAATATCATCATCACAGGTGATTTCAATGTCCTATTTGAAATTACTCAAAAGGAGGCAAATATATTAGAAGATCTTCTGGAATGTCATGGGTTAAAAAAGCTATTTACTGAGGAAACCAGAGGTGAAAATTGATTAGATATTGTATTTGTTAACTTTGACGTAATTAAAATGAAAAATATTGATCTAAATGTATCTGACCACTTGGGGCAGCTTGTATCTTACAGCACCTGAATGGCTTGAGACATACGACTCTTATGGAGGAATCAGTATTCAGGCCAATCACACAAAAAGGCTTACTAGAATTTTACAGTAGAATCGGATCTAATAACTGGCACTTTATTGATCAGGTCATTATATCTGCAAATGACAAATTTTGACTGAAGCCTATCTGCAGTCTTTTCCCGAAAATATTTACAAAACTTGTAGCTCTATCCCGGGGTGTGTACACTAGTTTAATGAGGGCTTGAAAAATATGAGGGACACAGTTCATTTTCTGGGAGAAGTATGTAAGCAGTACGAAACTCCAAGTAACAATTTTTTTTTAAGGAATATCAAAAGCGATATAAATGGGAAATTGTCAACACAAAACGTAAATTTAATGATATAATGATAAAGACATCAAAGAACCCATAGATCCATGTGGAACATCATAAACAGTAAGAGGAAAAGAGGAAAATTACATCAAAATAAGATTCCAATGACAGCTGATCAGTTTAATAAATTCTTTAGTAATATTTCAGAATACTAAGCAAAATAGCTGAAAGTGATGTTTCACCATTAGATAATCTTAAAAAATTGTTGATGCCGAATACAACATTTCAGTTCAAGAAGGTCACGCAAAATGAGATCATATAAATTCACTCAAAAACAAGAAAAGCACTGATACATACGGTTTATCGGTTCAACATATAAATAAATTCACTCAAAAACAAGAAAAGCACTGATACGTACGGCTTATCGGTTCAACTTATAGAATCTATAAAGAACATAATAATACCTCCTTTGACTAAGCTGATAAATCTATGCTTTCGAGAAAACATATTTCCTGACGTTTCAAAAATCGCAATTGTCATTCCCATTTTCAAGAACGGGGATGAAGGAGATATTTCCAACTACCGTTCAGTGTCTCTACTGCCAATCCTCTCGAAAATCTTTGAAAAATGCGTGGCGATTCCTGAATACTTTGAAGAGCATTGCCTCTTCTCTGAGCGTCAGTTTGGCTTCCGGAAAAACAAGGGCACTATTCTTGCGGTTCTGGACCTGCTCTCAAATATGATGAAAGCATTCGAAGATCCACAGTATATTGCATCGTTATTTGTGGACCTAAGTAAAGCTTTCGATTGTGTATCACATACGATCTTGCTGAAAACCGACACTAGAAAGTGCAACTTAGGGATGTCGAGTCATCAGAGAGAGAGTTGAAAGTAGGGGTACCACAGGGCTCAGTTCTTGGCCCTTACTTTTTTTGATATACATCAATGACTTGCCGGCATGTGAAAACAATGCCATTTATACGCTCTTTGCTGAATTTCCACACATGGCACTCGAATGCTTAATTTGAAGCAGGGTCTGTTAGATGCACAGATGAGGGCTGAGCAATGGTTCCAAGCTAACAGACTTGTGCTAAATGTTGACAAATCCCAAAAAACGATTTTTGGGCTCAGAGACCTGAGTAATAGGGGTCAGCAGTCTATCGAATTTTTAGGAATAAACCTAGATGCTCG